AAATCCTAGGTAAGGCTCTATCGAGGCTCAATCACAGAATCACACATCAAAGGAGCCAATGAATAAGATATAGCAAGGAAAATAGGTTTTGTAAGACATGTATTACCTATTAGCCTTAATTAATCCTCCATTGGCTATTAAGGTTCTTCTATAAGATTTTCATCCGATTGATCTCCCTAGGCTTGGTAGTGGGCCGGGGAATCTCTTGGGAATAATTTCGTTTAATATAAATATGGGTGGTAAGGGTTCTAATTGCCTTCTAATCCCCTATTTATAGAGTTAGGAATCATAATCAGAGTCTGAATAGTAAAGATCTACTTTCTATTCCTAACTGGTATATAGGTCTAGGATTCCTAATTAGAATCTGAGTAGTAAAGACCCATTTTCTTTATTCCTAATAGACTTAAAGTCCTTATTATAAACAAGGGTCCACGGTCCTTCGTGGACCACATTAATTAATTAAGGGATCCTGGACAGATTAAATCCTTTTTAACTATTCTTTAACGGAATTAATTAAATAATTAATCTGGGATTAAAGGGCATAACACGGGGTATTACATTTGAATCAACCATTTTAAAATCAAGGAATCGGTCAACTACAAATTTCTTTGTGCCGGCATCCTCGCTTCGGTATTTATGATCCAAGGATTCCCACAGCGCTTTCGTTGTGCTAATCTTGTGATATACATCTCATAACGCATCAGATAATCCGTTTAGGATGTAGTTTCGGCAAAGGAAGTCCGAATCCTTCCAATAGCCGACCGCCATCACGGATTGGGCATCTTGTTCCTTCAACTCCAGAACTTTCTCGGTCAAGAACCTTGCCAAGCCGAGAGTTGCCAGGTAGAACAACATCTTTTTTTGCCACTTTTTGAAGTTCGATCCACTACCGGTGAACTTCTCCGGTCTTTCAGCCGAACCACTTGGTACCGTAGGTACCCGCATCGTAGGGATGTATCCCTCGGTGCTCCCACCATCTTGTGAACCAACGTTCACTGGTGGTGCTTGGGAATTTGCAACGTTGTTGCCATTCCCACCACTGTTATTCTCAACAACATTCTCTTCCCCTTGATTAGGCAGTACGGGATTCTCCATTTCTTCTAGGAAATTAGAGATAAACAACCAACAGGAAACGAGAATAAGGTTTTAAGATTGTTGGGTAATAAGGTGGAAAACCCAAAATAATAATCCTACGAAAAGATTATTATTATATGGGAAAAAAGGCAGAAAACTAGGAAGGAAAAGGTGGATGATTTGGATAGTGGTTAGCACGAGTTTGAACAAATCGTTATTTTCCTTAAAACCTTATTTGCTACCTCCCACAAGTGCTAGGAGCGTTGTAGCCTAGGTTCCCTAAGATAAAACGTGCTACGGTTCAACGTTTGAGCACCCAAACTTCGAATCCGACGAACAAGAGCAAAGCTTAGAACACAATAGACTAAGAAGGAGTAGAAACAGAGAGTTTTGAGAGCTGGAAAATATATTTTCTGTGTGTTGAAAATCTGCTGCTACTACTGCTTCTTATATAGGAGAAGGTGGTGCAAATAACATTCATTTTGGCATTTAAAACCGATATTATTTCAGTATTTGTAACACCTGAAACAACAGCCACTAATAGGGATTTAATTCGAAATTCAAAATTGGAATTAATCTACAATTAATTCCGTAACAGTTGAATTAGTCCTTTCAACACGGTAGACCAGACCAGCTTGTTGGAAAAATAATTCGGAAGGAGGTTGACATTCGTGCCCCAAGTGCCGGCGCACACGCGCTTAGGGGTAAACTAGACCAGCTTGTTGGAAAAAATAATTCAGAAGGAGGTTAACATTCGTGCCCCAAGTGCCGGCGCACACGAGCTTAGGCTTGATGCAGCATCAAGCCTTTTCGGTCTCATTTTGGGATTTGATTTGCACCCCTCTCCACGCGCGCGCGCGCGAGAGAGAACTTCTATGTTATACAATTCAATAAGCTTAAAAAGAGCTCTTGTATAAATAGTGGGCAAATGCACTTCCAAAACCAATGTGGGATAAAAGCTTCACTTTTTCCCTTCATTTTTCCAACTCAAATGGGTATACTTTGAGAATCAATATCTCATTCACTCATTATCCGTTTTGAGCGTACAATATATCAATCTCTTCGTCTCACAACGAAGAATCCGAATCCACTTTGACCCAACCTAAATCGAAAGTGGACCCCACTGATAATTGTATCACAAAATAGCTACTTAAAATGTCATTTTATGCCAATTTATGCTAGTTTCTCCAACAAGACTTTGAGATATGAAGAATTTCTCACCAAGTTCCTAACTCGATGGAATGCAAAGGTAGCATAAGTTGAGGGGATAGACAGAAAATCGTCCATCACAATGTTTATAGATGCTATAAGGGATAAACATTGATGGCCAAAGTTAATTGGTACGATGAAGTGAAAGATGCAAACTAAGCTAAAAGGCAAGGGGCTAAGCATCTCGTGCTCATATGGCATGTAGTGACCTCTCCTATGTGGGAGGTCATAAGATCGAGCTTCAGTGGAGGCATTGTTGACTCTTTGTGCTTCATTAGGTTGAGAAAGTATGTTTGAACAGATAATACAATGTAATAGAGTCAGCATTCAAAAAAAAAAAGAAGAAGCTAAAAGGTAAGGGAAAAAAAAAAAAAAGAAAAAAAAAAGAAGAAGCTAAAAGGCAAGGGAGGAATGATTGACTAAAACATCCAAAACAGAAGAACATTCAAGAGCAAACTCAAAAAAGAAGAAGTTAAAAGGCAAGGGAAGAAAGGCTTTTAAAGTCTTCGCACTATGACTGATCCCTAATCCAAAACAGAAGAGCATTCAAGAGCAAACTCTCAATGTAGCAGGAAAGGCTTTTGACTGATCCCTAATCCAAAACAAAAAAGCATTCACGAGCAAACTCTCAATGTAGCAGGAAAGGCTTTTAAAGTCTTTACACTATGACTGATCTTTAATTAATTCTGTTGTTCAAATTCCCAATTCAGGAAGTGGAATTGAAAAAGCAAGCCGAAGAAGTAGCAAAAGTGAAAGAAATGGAAGAAATGGCAGCATCTCTTCGCTTCCTCAGAAATTGAATAAAATTTCCCACTACTTTCGAAGAAGAAGAACGACACAGACGAAACGAATTAAACAAACAAAGAAGAAGAAAGAAGGAAGAAGAAGAAATGGCTTGAAATGACCTATTTTCCCTCATGATTAAGTAATTATAAATGGTTTATAATTTTCCGGCAACATCTGGCTGGTGATTTGGCTGGGAGGACCAAATGTGTTAAAAATTGCATAGTTACAGGACTAATAAATTGTTAGTTTTTAAAGTCGAGTACTGAAATTAACAAGACATCTATAGTTATAGGATCAAAAGTATAATTTTCTCTGTTATTAACTAGGTTTCTACGTCATTACAAAGCATTAATCGAGATCTTTAAAATGACACACATCTTGATTTTAAAAATAAATTAAAAAATGTCTTCAAAAAGAAATTAAAAAATAAATTTTTAGGTACATAAGGTCATTACTTTAAGTATATAAATCACTATGAATATTGATGGGGAATGAGCTCCCGATCTAAAGCCAATTGGATCTGAGGAGTGGAAGCTCAATGATTGATTAGGTCTAGAGGATGTTGGAGCCCATGGGCAATGATTGGGATGCCTATTGTAAGAAGGGAAGAGAGTTAGATGTGCAAATTGAGCTAAGGATTAAAGTTAAGGAAATGAGGGCATAAATGCTGAAGGGATTGGGCATAAAGTAAAGAAGGGGGAAAAGTTTAGATGCCAAAGTATGACAATGCATAAATTATATGGTCTAAAGGCACAAAGGCTACAAAGGGTACAAAGGAATGTGTCAAAAATGAGAAGGGACATAAACCCCGAGGTCATAATATGCAAAGGTACAATAAGGAAGGATGGACTGGTGGCAAGGCAACATGGTGCCCCGCCAGTCCAAATAGCAAGCTGCGAGCCGCTTACTGCCAGGCATGAGAGGAGATCATGGCCATGAGTGATCCTACCAGCAGTTACTAGCTTTTGTTAGTTATGAGAAAGACCAGGGGTGGTGGGGGTATTTTTGCCCCCCTACCTAGATAGCAAGAATCTTGGCTTACATTGCGACAAAAAACTGTGGATGTGGTTGGGGACGACGCCGGGTGGCTAACTACTACAAACCACCAACGTGGTTTTGGGCCCTAGGGTGTGTTAAAGGTATAGATGGTGGTGAATGTGGGTGTGGTATGAATTCTCGAGGGTTGTCGTTCACTCTCTATTAAAAAAATCCCAAAAATACTAGTCCCTCCGTCTCATTTTATGTGTTTGGTTCGGTTAACGAGGCTTGAATGAAGTTATTTTTAATCTAATTTTTCATAATATTAAGTTTAGTATTAGTTTATAAAATTTATATATTTAGAAACTACAAAAATACTATTAAACACAAAAAGAAAAAATTAAAAATAATTTAAGAATACTAAAGAAAATAAACTAAGAAGAAAGAGTTAGTTTCATCAATAAATAGTAAGTATGACAGATAAAATGGGACAGAAGGAGTATAAAAAAGGGGCTTGGGTTTACAAATGCAATTTCATTATGATTGTCATAGATAAGGAATAAAATAGGACATGTTGTTCCATAATCCAAACATGCAGTTAAAGTATTACACCAATCGTTATGCCGTGAGCACGTGCCCACTTTGCATGGTGCGCACGAATCTATATCCATAATTCCTATACTGTAGATCCATAATTTCTAGACTCTCGGTGAGCTAAAATTTATATTTTAGATTCATAATTTCTAAAATCGTAGGATCCATAATTTAAATACAGTAGATCCATAATTTCTATACTGCACTGATTTGTGAAAACATGGTTCAACAATTGGAATCTAAAGTATAAATTTTAGCTCACTGAGATTCTAGAAATTATGGATCTACAATATAGAAATTATGGATATAGATTCGTGCGCATGCATGGTGGGCACGTGCACACATCATAATTTGTCGTATTACACCAAGAAATATCACTTACTACATTCTAGTGCAGTTGGCTTCGGAGAAACTATTCAAACCAAACCTCAAAAAGCTGTGGTGAGAAGGCCAGACAAAAACTTGATCAAATCATAAGATGTCTCAACATACAGCTCATTGAGACTATATTTCAAATTGAGAAACCAAAAACATTAACCACATTTTAGTCACAGGTTCAGAACACAATTTGTGCTTTCGTTGAAGCTCGAGGGAACAGCAACAACTCTTCCAAAATATTTGAGAAATTCGACTGTAATACTTGATTGTCCACAAAAGTGATCCTTTGTAGTGATGAGCAGCATGAAAGTATAAGCTTTACAAAAAGCATTTCAGCTCTTGACCCCTGGAAATATTTGATCACCAATGTTTGCAAACTGTTAATATCTTCTCTCATACCGCTATGTTCTTGCAGCAAATACTGTAAAGCAAGGTCGTCGCCAGCAGTCACTGCAGGGACCTATAACACAAAAATTGAAATAAGTTGAAACCAAAACTGGAAGAAATAAATGGAAATGGAGGATCATTTTCCCACCTTTGCCCAAATTTGAGGGCTATGCACCCCAGGAGAGCTATGAAGCAAGCAAAGAATACAAGATATATGTTCCAGATCAGTAAAGTTAATTTCAAACAATGTAAGTTCCCTTAAGCTATTAACTTTAACTGGAAGAGCACTCATAACGGAACCTGCAGCCAAAAGCTTTGCACCACAGAGAAAAATTAAAACACAACCTAAATATATATATCATTTGGGAAATATATATTCACGGAGAATCTTAAAAGGAAATGCACCTTGAGATGTTGTCCATCCAAACTAAGCTTTGAAATTTGTGTCCAGACGTTTAGGCTCTAGGAGTTGCACTGTTATAGCCTTCTCTTTGTCGTGCATATCATCGAGAAACATAGAGAGTAGGTCCTTCTGTGTAATGCACAAAAACATTGTTAGTTATGTGCTTGAGATTAGCAATCCGGAAAAAAATTAGACAGGCCAACACTCCTAACTGCTTGCAAGATGCACTAAACACTTAAAATGCACATTTTGAACTTTCACAAAATGCACTGATTATTTAATCATAGATGCAATCTATCTAATTCACCAATGTGTCGAACATAATGCACTATTCATACACTCATAAATACACACTGTAAGGCACCATTTATTTGAATACTCAATATAATATGTCACACGGATGCACATGTACGGAAATATGCACTATGAAGTTTCACAAAATGCACTGATTATTTAATCATAGATGCAATCTATCTAATTCACCAATGTGTCGAACATAATGCACCATTTATACACTCACAAATACACACTGTAAGGCACCATTTATTTGAATACTCAATATAATATGTCATAGATGCACACGAACTAATTCACCAATATTGTGCCAATCAGAATGTAGCATTTCTACACTCACAAATGCACAGAAGAATGAAATGTTAATTTTAATACTCACCCAATTCACATACACTTCAACTACACAGAATTATTTACAGCAGATGCACACGGCGTTAGCAATTACAGATTTTATACATAAAGGAATATCATTTTTAGCTATATAATTATCTCTTAGCCAGGCGCACACAATTAAAATCCAACTCACCTGCACACAAATTAATTCACAATCTATGTCTACACATGCACACTGACACACACACAAATCAAATCATACAACTATAACACATACACATACTGTTATAAAAAAAAGAATTCTTACGACAATATTTGTAGCATAAAATAAACTATAAACACTACACAAAATTAAAATTAAAATTACTTTGTTTATTTGTCTATAGCCACAAATGCTACATGTCACAAACAAATTAAATATATACACAAAGAACTATCTTACATGCACAGGTTGCATTATCCGCCTTTAACCTACGAATGCACAAACTCATCATGCACAGATGCATCCACACACTACTCCCTCATTTCTTCTGCTCATCATCACTTATCAATTCAATAAGTCACAATCCTACTTTAGTTTTAACAAAATCATCATTTGGTGTAGACCCAAGGATCTCGCCTAGTGGAGGATGGGATGCTTTCTATTTTTTAGCTACATTAGGAGATGGCATACATGAGAATTAGTATTCAAGTCAGCACTACTGGAAATTATGAAATTTTCGATCACCTGAAAGTGATCTTAAATCAAGTCGAAAGCCTTGTTCCGACCACTTTTGGTATCCGGAAAAACCATTGTTGCTATTTCCGACCACTTTTTGGTTTCAACTTGATTTAAGATCACTTTCAGGTGGTCGGAAATTCCATAATTTCCAGTAGTGCAGTGTACATTGTGCCTATTCTTTATGCAATAGTGATAATGATTCCACAGTTTGCTCTTGGAATGGTCACTGATTCCCCTCCCACTCGTTATATTCAACATTAACCAAATGCACAAAAAAAAAAAAAAAATCATAATATCCTAAATGGGCACACAAACATTAATGAAAATGCAAATGTAAGAATAGTTATGTCAATTATAGATGCTCATAAATCTATCAAAAAAAATACATTTCACTGTTCCGTATCATGTGAATTATCTTCAACCCAGCCCAATGCACACACTTCTTCACGGATGCACACTCAAATTTCATTGACACTTTCATATTTCCCTCAACCCGGTGCTGCCGTAAACCCTGTTCCGACCATCAATATTAGAAGAGAAAGGTGGCAGTTAAGCCTTGATGGCAGTTAAGCTCTGTTCAGAAGTTAGTTAGGATCTTTTCTCTTTTCTGTTATCTGTTAGCTCTGTGTATATAAGGCCATCTGTAAAGTTTCTTTTTAGTTGATGAAGACAGAACCAATGTAACAGTACTCTTCCTCCGTTCAATCAGATTTCCTCTTTTTCTTCATACTCTCTCTTTTGTAATATGGTATCAGAGCCATAAGCATCAATGGCTTGGAATGCGCAAAACAGACCTCCTGGTATCACAATTAATCCACCAGCAGTAGGAACTACAGCGACTATGCCGGCACCACCGATCAACTCTACCGTAGCAAACTTCGATCCAAATGACGCGGCTAGTCCGTATTTTCTGCATCCAAATGAGAATCCTTCGTTGATTCTAGTCTCCGCCGTCCTCAATGGCCGGAACTATCACCCTTGGGCCAGGGCAATGGAGATGGCATTGCTATCCAAGAACAAACTAGGGTTTGTTGATGGCACAATCTCTGCGCCAAATGTAGGAGAAGTGAAGTATCCCTATTGGAGGAGATGTAACAACATGGTGGCAACCTGGATCATGCGAGCTGTTTCCCCAGAAATTGCGTCTACGATCCTCTGGGTTGGATCAGCTGAACGCATATGGAGCACGTTGAAGGCAAGATTCAGCGAGGCAGACATCTTTAGGATCTCTGACCTACATGCAGAGATTCATCAAATTAGGCAAGGAGATTTGACAGTGAGTGCCTATTTTGCCAAATTAAAGAATCTGTGGGATGAACTCCAGGTTATTAGGCCTTTTCCTGTGTGTAAATGTGAAAGAGTCTGCGATTGTGGATTATTAGAGACTCTGCATCAGAACTTGGAGAACGACAATCTGTCAGTCTTCTTGAGAGGTTTGAATGATACTTATGCATCGGTTCAATCCCAGATTATGATGACGAAGCCGCTTCCCAATGTTGATGAGGCGTTCATGATGATTCAACAACAAGAAAGAAGGTTCAATAATGGAGTGGTAGGCTTGCAACCTCAAGAAGCAGGCAGTGTTTTACTCACTCAAGGCAGTGGGGCAGGTTTTAAGAAGTTCAACAATAATAATAACAAGAAACCTGTTTGTTCATACTGTGGATTCACTGGACACGTTGCCGAGAAATGCTACAAGAAAAATGGGTATCCACCTGGGTGGAAACCAAGAAATAAACCTGCTGGTTCTGCCAACCAAGTTACTACCAACACAGATGAACAATCTCTTAATGAAAGCATGGGGTCTGCCAGCACTGGATCTATCACTCTGAATCAAGATGAGTACAGGATGTTCAAGCAGCTCCTGCAGAGGGACTATATGGCCTATCAATCACCTTTGAATGGAATTGGAGGAGTGGCACCCCAGGTCAACATGATTGCTGCCAATTTCGTTCCCAATTCTCAATTTGAAGGTAATTACTCTAAACCTTCTTCTGAAAATAAAGTTGCTTGGATACTTGATAGTGGAGCTACTCACCACATTGTATGCCATCATGATATGTTGACTAATGCCAAGGAAGTCCAAGGTATGTTTGTTGAGCTACCTAATGGTGACAAAGCTGACATTACACATATAGGGTCTGTAAGTGCTGACAATCTGGTCCTGCAAAATGTATTCTGTGTGCCTGGTTTTCATTATAACCTGATCTCTATCAGTGAGCTAATTAAAACCTCCAAGTGCAAAGTGTTGTTATATTCTGACTGGTGTATTATACAGGATCAAGAATGTGGGAAGATGATTGGCTTGGCTAACTTGCAAAAGGGGCTATATTACCTTGTGAAACCAACCTTTCCTGTTAATGATAGACTAGCACAAGTTAGGGTTAATGCTTGTAATTCTGCCAATACTTGGCATGCTAGACTAGGGCATTTTTCCTATGAAAAACTGAAGCAGTTACCTATGATAGATGTAAATTTCAAAGTGAATAAAGATGATGTTTGCAGCATTTGTCATCTAGCCAAACAAAGGAGATTACCCTTTAATACTAGCTCTACTGTCTCGAGTGAGTGCTTTGACTTGGTACATATTGATATCTGGGGACCATATCACACACACACTATATATGGACACAGGTTTTTTCTAACCATTGTGGATGACTACAGCAGAGCTACATGGGTATACTTAATGAGAGGCAAAGATGAAGTTAGAACACTAGTCCAAGGATTCTGTGCTCTTGCCATGACTCAGTTTGGAAAAATGGTCAAGTGTATAAGAACAGACAATGGACAAGAATTCAAGATGGAAAAGTTCTACCAAGAAAAAGGCATCAATCACCAGACAACTTGTGTATATACACCACAACAGAATGGTGTAGTAGAGAGAAAACATGGTCATATTTTGGCCATTGCAAGGGCACTCAAATTTCAATCAGGGCTGTCAGATGTGTTTTGGGGAGATTGCATACTGCATGCAGTTTATATCATCAACAAATTACCTTCAATAGCTCTACAAGGACAGATTCCTCATCAAGTCCTGTTCAAAAAGGACTCCCCAATACTCACAGTTCAAAGTTTTTTGATGCTTAGCCTATGCTGTTCTGCACAAAGGGCATCTGGGGAAGTTCTCACCTAGAGCTAGAAGATGCTTATTTCTTGGTTATCCTAATGGAGTTAAAGGGTATAAGCTCTATGATCTAGATTCCAGGGAGGTTTTTATGTCAAGAGATGTGGTTTTCTATGAGCATATATTTCCTTACAAGGTAGCAAATCAAGTTGATGAGCAAGGTTCACCCCAGAATCTCATTCTGCCAAGTGATATCAGTTTTATGGAGGATGTTACCCCCCAAAGGACTGTCCAAAGAGAAGAGACAAGTAATCTCAGTGGCCATGCTGAACAAAATGATCTCATACCTGACATTATACAAAATGATCCTGATCTGGAACAATCTGATCCTGTGCCAGTCCAGACCAGAAAGTCCAGCAGGCAAATGACCAGGCCTGCATATCTCAGAGATTATGAATACAGTTTGCCCATTACCAGGACCTCTCCCCACACTCTCTC